TCGCCCACCTAATCTTCACCAGATGTTTAGTGCCACAACTTCCATAAACCAATGATCGTGTATGATGGGAGTTGCAATCCAAAACATCTGAAGTTCACCAGGTTGAGGAAGGTTGCTTTAGAGGCTAACACCATTGCCAAAATTAAATATATTTAAGTCCAATTAATTTCAATGGTTTGATTGACTGCATGCTTCCTTCATGAAAATTGTTTGACTATATCAAGTCCAACTTTTATTTATTAAGAGAAATAGCTATCAAAGAATCTATATTAAAACTGTTACATGATTATTCGGGTCTTTTTTTAACTTATACTTATTTATAACAATTCCACCAAAAGATTCCCAAGACAAAATACAGTTTCTAAAGTCAATTAAACAATTAGCTTTGTGAGAAATTTTAAAAGAAGTTAATTATGCCCACTATCTGTATTAATCATCTCTGATAGTCTTGTTCACCTGAGCAACTAGAGGATATTATATTGGTTCTTTATGGATATGTATGGATAGTTCCTTTTCTCCTATTTGGAAAGACCTCAACCCACTCATATCATTCACTGTAGTTAGTCTTTGAGTCTCTTGCCAGCATCAAAAGATGTGGGACATGTGGCCAGATACCTGGTATATGAAAACACACACGTCAAGCTGTTGAGCATGGAAGAGGCATGTGTTTCTTGGATGACACTGATTATCTGGACCCATTTCAGTCCGGCTTCAGACCTGGGTTTGGTATTGAATCTGCCTTGGTCGCCCTGTACGATGACCTGTGCAGGGAGAGAGACAGGGGGAGTGCGTCCCTGTTGGTCCTCCTGGACCTCTCAGTGGCTTTCGATATCATCAACCATGGTATCCTTCTGGATAGGCTGGCAGGATTGGGAGTAGGAGGCACTGCTTGGCAGTGGTTCCACTCCTACCTTGACGGCCGATTCCACAAGGTGGTGCTGGGGGACTATGGCTTTGTGCCATGGCAGTTATGCCATGGAGTACTGCAGGGTTCCATCTTGTCCCCCTTGCTATTTAATATCTACATGAAACCACTGGGAGAGGTCATCAGGAAGTTTGGGCTGCAGAATCATCAGTATGCTGATGACACCCAGCTCTCTCTTTTTCAACCGATCCAGGTTGAGGCAGTGGCTGTACTAAACCGGTGCCTGGCTGAGATAATGGGCTGGATGAGGGCCAATAAACTGAAACTTAATCCAGAAAAGACGGAGGTCCTGTTGGTGGGTGGATCGAGCTCCTGGGTAGGTGGCCTGGACTTTGCCCTGGATGGGGTTGCACTCCCTGTAAAGGACAGGGTCCGCAGCTTGGGAGTGCTCCTCGACCCGGAGCTGTCCTTGGAAGCTCAAGTGACTGTGGTGGCGAGGATCGCTTTCCTTCAGCTTCGGCTAATCTATCAGCTGTGCCCCTACCTGGAGGAAGATTGCCTAGCGACAGTGACACATGCATTGGTTATTTCCCGGTTGGATTACTGTAACGCGCTCTATGTGGGGCTGCCCCTGAAGACAGTCCAGATACTTCAGATGGTGCAAAACAGAGCAGCCAGGTTGCTGACGGGGACTGGGCATTATTCTCACATAACCCCAGTCCTCTACCAGCTTCACTGGCTTCCCATCGAAGTCCGGGCTCAATACAAGGTACTGGTTATTACCTATAAAGCCCTTAATGGCTTGGGACCTGAATACCTGAAGGAACACCTTCTTCCATATTTGCCCTCCCACCCCTTGAGATCAGCAGCAGAGGCATTCCTCCGGGAACCCTCCGTGAAGATAATAGGAGGCAAAAGTACCCAGAGGAGGGCTTTCTCTGCAGCGGCGCCCCATCTATGGAATGCGGTCCCCAGAGAGGTCTGCCTGGTGCCGTCATTATTTGATTTGCAGTGCCAGGTTAAGACCTTTTTATTCCAGCGATTATTTTAGTAAGTTTTAACATTGTCTTTTCTATGTTTTTAACTGCAGCCAGTGTGGGTTAGGAATTTATTTATGTTATATTTTATTTTATGCTGTAAGCCGTCTTGAGGCTTTTTGCAAATAGGATGGCATATAAATATTTTAAATAAATAAATAAAATGCGTTTCAGGGCCAGAGTGGCATGTACTCTTCTCATGAGGAGGATGAAACCTGGAACTAAAAGGTACAACCTTAAGTTATTAATTTATGAAACCTCCAGATACAGAAATGGAAAAGGCAGAAGAGCATGTCTCAAGGCTGCCATCTCTACGTATTCAGGCAGACCCTGAAAGTAGTTGGAGTCTACATATGCTGGGCGGGAGCATGGGGCAGTAGCTGAATGAGTCTGGTATGATCTTTGATCCCATGATGTGGAGTTGGGAGAGAAGGGCTAGCCAACTAGAGGTGCTGTGTACAGCTAAGATGCTTGCCCATTTCCAGGAGGACACTCCCAAATGGGTGGAACCCAGGGTACCCAAAAGGAAGGTTCTCAGAAGTAGTTTCTCATTTGGATTCAACAAACCACTCTGTGGATGCTCAGATATTCTTTCTTCACTGGTTACAGTTTGCTGGATGTACACTGCAGAATAAGGAGCTTTTGTCAAAGAATGGTCTGCTGGTTTGAAAGAGAGAGGGAAGAAACCTAGCTCCTGAACAAGTCCTAATATTTACAAGGTTTAGCGTTTTGTAATAAAGAGGAACATTTATCCCCTGCCCCTCTGGGACATAAAGTTTTCTGTTGCTTCTTATAAGTTGGATTTTAATTACTTTATTTAAAATTATGCCATTTTTCAAGATACTAATGCAACAAAATAAACTAATTCCCCCCCACCACCACCAAGTAATACACTATTTTAGTACTTGCCATTTTATTGCCTTCTTTGAAATGAAAGCAGTTTGGAACAACATGTAACTGAGTGAGAACATTTTTAGCAGGCAAAGGTATTTGCTCTGGATGGGAATTATTTAATGACAGCATTTCTGAGAATAAACACCAGAACAATTTGAATCCAATGCTGTTCAATTTGCAGATTTCACTGTATCAGCAATTTGTTTAGCTAATAAGCCACAAATGGATATACATATAGAGGTACAACCTTTTAGTAACACTGTAAGCTATTAAGTTTTCCCAATCATTATTACTCTTTCATCAAGTGTATTCATACTGCAGTAGTATGATGTACATCAAATGGTGGGAATATACATGGAAATGGGACCTGTGATTGTGAGTGCTTGCAAGTCGTGAAGGTTTGGTGTGGGGGTATGTTAACTCATGGAGAAAGCTGAACTGAATCTCAGTGGAACAGGGAATGTGGTTTCTTGAAAGCTGGGCCAGATGCCCAACACAGCAGCTTTATCAAAGTTGAGAACCAGCTGCTGCTAGGCAACTTTTGATTTAGCAACATGGAGTATGCTTCAGTTTTAATCATGCAAATAGAACTGAAAAGGAGGAGCAGGCTAGTTAAATAGTTGCCTGTATTACAGATGGACCAAAGTCTGCCTTTCCAGAGAGCTTGCTGTGGCTCTTTCCTTGTAGCTACTATAAATAACAGTTGTTTGGGGATGACTTTTTCAGGTGCAAACTGACAAAAAGAGACCAAATGCAGGCAATTAACTTGGCAGAAAGACCTATACTAGAAAGACAGCCATCACTCATTTTGGAGATAAGGAACACTATATTGGTTTAGGTTTAGTTTTCAATACAAACAGGAACAATACCACTAAGTAAGAAACTGCCTTAAATCAACTCTACCTTTATCACCTGGTGCTTCAAATCCTAAAAATATTGCTGTTTATAGATTGATAATATTACAGTCTATCCATCAATGCAAGTACTTAAGACTTTAGTTAGATAGTGTTTCAGCAGCGTTTTTCCCATAATGGCTTAAAAGTCAAATCTTTTCATGCTAATTTTGTTCATACTGACTATGACTTCTGATTATTTTTATTTTACCCTAGTGTTTCATTTATAGCCTGCTTTGTGTTATCAGCAAGGATTTTCTTCTCCCATCTAAATCTTGAAATCTTCTTTTCCTTTTTGTAGGCATTAAGGACTTCACTGTGACAACTAGACACAAAGATTATAAGTTTGTCTGTTTGCTTGTTTTTTGGGTAGTCTTAACAGATGAGTTAAACCATGCTTCAAAGTAAGTGGTTTTCAGTTTTGGCACTGAGAAAATATTTTCTCCAGACCAGGTTTGCCTGGGACTCTGTTTTTTGTTCCATGTATTTTCTGATATCTCTGACGGAGGTAACTGAAAGGATGTTTCAGTAGTGCACTGGAGAAGAACCATAGCTCAATGGCAGACCACATGTTCTGCAAGCAGATGTTAGGCTTAGTTCCAGGCATCTGAAGTTAGAAATAGCAGGTAGCACGTGATACTGAAAGACCGAGTGCCAGACAGTGTAATTTCCTATGCAATTTCCTATATCCTTTTACACTAGCCTTTCCCAAGCTTGTGCCATTCTAGGCATGTTTGGACTGCAACACCCAGAATTCACAGTCAATGGCCCTGCTAGACGGGAATTTTGGGAGTCACAGTCCAAATGTCTCTAAAGTCCACCATGTTGGGGAAGGCTGCTTTACACCTCTATTTTAACTGAGGCTTGCTTGATCTTTGGGAAGAGACTATATAGAAATTGCAACAGAAGGTTGAGAAAGATGTAATCTGGGCCAGTAAATGGGAAGCTTGTGGATAGATTAAGGGGAATCAGAGAGTTCTTCCTGTGGCAAAACTATCCTTTCATGGAGGTTTTAACTGGAATGTCTCCTAAAGTTTGGAAGTTGATTTTTACCATCCACATAAGAGTAAGCAAAAAAGATGCCCCTACCCTGGAAGATACATATTTGAATCAAAATGAAGAAAAAGCTAGTCATTTAAATTGTGCTGTCTTTATACTTACAGAGCTGCCACCAAATTACAGGAGAACTTAGCATTAACACAAATGGACATGACAAGTTAACAAAATAATTTTGGGGATGGCAAAGAACTGAAGAGTGTATGTGTTTTTTTTCTTTTCTTTTGGAGGAAAGAAGTATAATCAAATACTGACCTTGAATTGTCCTCTTGAAGAAAGCCTTGCAGGCTTCACACGAAGCCACGCCGTAGTGGTACCCTGATGCAATATCACCACACACCAAACACAGTCTTTTGGGCATTGAGTTCAGCATGTATTCACACTTGGTCTGTGAATCTTCAGCGATGGTACTGGAGCAGTCATCATATCGTTTCCTGACAGGCCCATTGCCCCCAAGACCTGGGGCAGAAGGGTAGAGCGGTGGTGAATCTAGCCCATTCTGATGTCCGTTCATGGTTGAACTGTAGCTCCCACTGGCGTCAGAGGAGCCACCAGGGCTATGGTGATTGATGCTATCCGTCAAGGAGGCGGGGCTTGATGGTTCCGTCTTGATATACGACGAACAGCTGGAATCAATGTGTCGATCCTTGCTTGACATTCTGCAGAGAAGCCTGCATTGTAAGGAGAGTGAGAGTGAGAGACAGAGAGAGAGAAGTTCCTGGACAGCATTACAAGGGCTAAGGACCACACATCATTCATTCATTGGTCAATACCTCTTGTTTTACATGTTTTACAGTGTAAGGCAATGACAGAGCTTTATCAAAGCTTCTGAAAGGCAGTAAACAAAACTTTAAAGAGAATGATTCTAATTTGTTTTTTTCTCTGTACTACCCCTTGCCAATTTTCTTTAAATCAACTCCCCAAATTCTGAACTTGTCATCTTCATGATGACACAGAATTCACTGCCTAACCCAACCCCAACCCATCTTTTGCTAGCAAAGAAAGTCAAAAATATTTCTTGCATTTGCATAAATAAATGTTTTGCTCTGTAATTGCTGTCTGTCAGCATGATTCACAAAGCATAACTGCATCTTCTATTGATTGAATTTCAGAATCTAGAATATCTATCTATACATAGAAAGAGAAGGATAAAATGTGTTATTTAGTAATAGATCATCTCAGTTTCCAACAAATAATTAAGGCTTGATTCTGTTCCACAAAGTGTAAGTGGAATGATTCATCAGCTTTGCCTGCAATTACTTTTTAGCTATTATTCTCAAGACTAACAGTAATTACAATGCAAGTATCCCATATATCCTGAAGTCCATATGATATGTCATCTAACATTTGGATGGGGTTGGGTAGGTTTTGCTGTTTAACTGGAGAAAATAGATAAAGTTTGCTTGTTACAAGGCAAAAACCCTTTACTTGGTCATTCCTCTTTAAGTAGCACAAGAATTTGAACTTGCAAATTATCTGCCTGTCACTGAAGAAAAGAGGAGGAAAAGATTGAAATTTTGGTTATAAGTAGCAAGAAGAGACAAAGAAGTCATAGCAAATCCCATGCTAAGTCTATTTTTAAAAACTTTTTCAAAAAGGGACTAAAGAAAATTTCATCCATTACACAAATGTGAATCCAGGTTAGAGGGATGTTCAAAAAGGAACTGTATCCAATCATAGCTCCCTGACAGGTGCATGCACACTTTACATTTTTAGGTGAAAATGTAAACATTTTATGCCTCAGAAATCTATTGTGAAAGCTCCCTACAATCTGGGTTAATTTGTTCAAGACTTTATAAAACTTCTTGAATTGTTATTAAAGTTTAAAAGTTTTACTGATTAACTATTTGACATTTAACATATTAAAACCAAGCAATAAAATCATGTACATTTACATACTGTGATATCTCATAAAAGGCTTTTTATGATTATACACAATGCAGACGTTTGTTCTACGTTAGAAAACAATCTTATTTCTAAAAATGTGAGTGTTCTGTCAAATCAGTGGAAAAAGCAATTGTCTTGCTGTCTTATCTGGCAAACTGTTGGATCTAATTTTTCAAACAGCCAATGTTCTTCCACCATGATATTTGACATATCAAGAGATGTGCTTAATTTGTGCACCATAAAACAAAGGCACATTTTTATTAACTTTTTCCTAACAGCAATTACTTCCTCACTGTGGGGGTGGGAGGAAGCTATCTGAGAGCTCCATCATTACTTTCACCTTGCTGGGCTTTTAAAAGGAAAGACCAGAGGCACTGATGTTACTTGGTGTTCCGAACAGCACAGCCTTGGTGCAGCTTGCTTTCTAACAGCATAAACCTAGGCATGTCCCGGCAGGAAACAAGTCTTAGAACTCCCAGCATTTCTCAGTCAGCCATTCTGAAAATGGTAGAACTTATTTCTACAATTCTTACACTTATTGTAAAAATGCAAGTATCAGACAAAGAAGACCTCATGCAGGATGGGGGTACAACTGGAAGCATGGAAAGTTCGATCCTATTCTAATTGCTGAAGTCTAGAGAAAAATGCTTCTCCCTAGCTTTTACTTTCTTTGGAAATCTGCATTCTCAGAAACTTGCCTCAGAAGCAGAGATAACTCTCATGCAATAAACCTCCTACTCTGACATGTTAAGCTCATACTCAGCAACCTCCAAACCTTTCACCACTGAGAGCAAGAAAAAAATGCAACATTTCTGGAGGGTATAGAAGTTCAGACTTGGATGGACTTCCTCTAGTGAGAAGGCAGCTCCAGAACTGAAGGGCAGCCACACAGAACATGTCCTTACCTGCCTTTGTAGTCAAATCCTGGAGGCACTGATAGCAGAGCCAGAAAATGCTGTGACAGTTAAAATAAATTGGGCAAAATAAGCTACAGTAGTAGGTAAATACTGAGAATTCTTTGACTGCTCACATATTTCCTTATAATGCCAAAAGCCATCAGATGGGTAGCTGGATAAATATTACATTGATGAGCAGAAATACAATCAGTATGGTAGCCCAATTGGCAAAAAGCCTTTCAATACGTTAGGCTATCTAAAGAACTAGGAAGGAAAGGTAAGGAGAAGAGTTCTAACATCTGCTCTTTTGCATCTGCTACATGTACCTACCACTACTAATGAGTATCACAATTTATAAACAGAGTTCTTTCACTCTTGCTTCTAGCTGGCCAAGCATTTTTCTCAAGTCAACATCTGAAAGTGAATCATCACCGACTGATAGCAGCTCTGTGAATTCCTTTTAATTCAGAGTACTCACATCACCATTCAACTTATTACCTTGCAATTACTGACAGGTCTCACATACATTATGATCTTTGGGTAGAGTCAGTAGGACATCCTTCCCTTTCTTCACCAACCCTTCATCCTGGCAGAGGATTTTATATAGCTATGATAAAAATGCCAAATAATTCTCTCACAATCTACCAATTAGACAATTTTATATAAGTGTTTGCTGCCTTTGTGTCAAACTTCCTGTTTTTACAAATATGGACTGTTAAAAGATTAACACAGCCACTGTAGTAAGGGGAGGGATATGACTGATTTTTGTGGGGATCCAGTAAGTGAACCAGACAACCTCTAGCCAGACAGCACTGGCATAATATAATATCAAGTCTTTCCTACAAAGAACTAAAAGCAGTGTTTCCTTGAATCATAGAACAGTAAAGTTGTAAGGGGCCAAGAAGGCCATCAGGTCCAACCCTGCTGTTGCAGGACACCGGCTTACATCATCCTACTGAGATGGCAGTCCAGTTTCTTTTTGAATGGTTCTAGTGTGGGAGAGCCCACAACCTCTCTAGGCAACTGGTTCCACTGTTGAATTGCTCTGACCGTGAGGAAGCTTTTCCTGATATCTAGCCTGAATCTGAGTTGTTGCAACTTGAAATGCTTATTCCACATCCTACACTCTGGTATCAGCAAGAACAGCTCTTGACCTTCCTCTTTGTGGCAGCCTTTGAGGTATTTATAGAGTGATATCATATCCTCCCTCAGTCTTTTCTTCTCAAGGCTGAACATGCCCAGTTCTCTCAATCTCTCCTCAAAAGGCAGGGCTTCCAAACGCTGGATAATTGTGGTTGCCCTCCTTTGGACCTTTTCTAATTTTTTCCATCTTACTTAAATATTGGTGCCCAGAACTGGACAAACTATTCCAGATGAGGTCTGACTAGTGAGGAGCAGAGGAGAACTACTACTTCTTGTGATATGAAAGGAATACTTCTATTAATGCATCCCAAAATACCATTTTTCCTTTTTGCAACTGCATCACATTGTAGGATCATGTTTAGCCTATTGTCCACAATAACTCCAAGTCTTTTTCTTTTTCAGTTCTGTATCTTCCCCCCACCCCCACCCCTTGTATTGATGCATTTGATTTCTTTTTCCTAAGTGGACGACTTGGCATTTGCACCTATTGAATCTCATTCTGTTACTTTAAGTCCAGCATTCAACTTTGTCAAGATTGCCCTGGATCTTCACATGGTCTTCTTTCTTTTTTAACCTCAAGTAGGTTAAGATGGGGTAGCTGAAGCTAAGGGACAGTGACTAACACAAGCTCACCAATGAATGTCATGCCTGACTGGGGATTTGAACCTGGGTCTTCCAAGACCAGTCTTCCATTCCAGCCACAGCACTACAATGACTCACAAGAAAATACAAAAGGTGGTCAATGAAGGCTAACTGGAACACATTAGGATTGAAATCTGCCTCCCGTATTTGGTGTTCCCAGGCAGCTAAATTAGTGGAATATGTAGTTGGCCACTGGGGGTGTAAATGGCAGACCATCATGCCCCACCAAGTTCATGTTGTGCTCTGTGGTGGCATAGTGGAGGGAAATGGCTGCTGAAGCATGCCAGGAATGCCACCATTGCTGTGTGACAAAAGGGCATTTTCAAACAAAAAAGTCAAGTCAGAAGCCAACAATTAAAATGAAATTCTCTCAGTGACCTGCAAAATTTGTAACAATTCTTTTCTGCCCCCAGAGAACATTGGGGTTCCCCCCCCCACATTTTCATCCTGTTCCAGCTTTCATGCATGTTGATGAAGAATGATTCCATTTGGAATTTCAGCACAGTACTTAAAAAAGAAAAAGAAAAACCTCATGCTAGCCTAGGGGGTCTGCTTAATATGTGGATTCCTTCCTTTTATTTTCCAAGAGCTCCATTTTGGCAATCACCAAGTTTGCTATTACAGGGAGTTTTGCCTAAAACACAGCTCAATAATAAAAGAGCTGCTCCTAATTTTAGCTTACATGGAAGAATTCTTAGAGCCACTATTACTTTACACCAAAAACTTAATTCCCTCTTCTTCTCTGTACTTGGTTTTCTGCAGATCTTTTATACAAGCCTGAAATATTCACAACTGTCTATAAATTCAATTGTCAGCTGGTGATTTTTATTCTAGACCTCACTTCAATCTGAAATTAGAGGCACTAAAATTCACATTAACTCTAAAAGGAATGTAGTGAATAGGACTTTATTTCAAAAGAACACCTTTTTGTCAGAAAGAGCTATTCTCAAGATGATGGCTTTATCTGCATTCAAAGTCCAATTCCACATTGTACTGTTAATACAGTTTTTTTTTAGGTCACAGCAGATTAATAAAAATCTTAATGTAGTGAACGTTTACCATAAGAAATAATGTGGGTCATATTTAAGTGTAAAATATTTATT